TAGGAATATGTTTAACTAATGTTGCAAAATAATTAAAATGAATAAGCATATTTCTATCATTTACCAATGTTATCAGGGAATCAATAAAAATAAAAGTGAAGTTATCATCAATTCATATTATTAAATATTCATAATGAGGGAACGTTTCAGTAGGTTTTTTCTCTTTACTGTGGTAGAAGCACACATAGAATATATCGTCAGTTTATATCATCAGGGGCAGTGCTGTGAGAAGCTATCTTACTATATGTTGTTGGACGGATTACAGAGCAGGTTATAAGGAACTTCATATAGCCGTACTGAAAATGAGAGCGATATCATGGTCTGTGCTGGATGGCAATCAGTGGAGATCCTCATATAGACATGGAGGTAGACTATATATATATATATATATATATATATATATATAATTATATAAGGTATTATGAAATGATTGGGCCAAGTGTATGCTAACTATATCCAGATATGCATCATATCCTTACTGAAGAAAGATTTTTTTGAGGAAAACTCTCTTCCTGTGACCTGGCATCATGTGTCTACCTGGTGCCAGTTTACAGCAAGTCAAAGGCTGAGTGGGGCCTCCAGGACCAACCCTTTTTACAAAGTGACTCTTAACATTTTCCTTTGGAAAGTAAAGGGAAAAAAATGGCTCAGTCACAATTAGATGATATTTTTTTCTTTCACAATGGATATCTTCATAGTGTTGGGTGTAATATGGGGGATCTGCTGAGGAAGGACAGTCTGGAGAGGTTTTAGACAGCATGACCTTCATCTTAAATACTGTTCAGGTGTTTTCAACCAACCGCAGCAAGAGAAACCAACAGTTAACCTGCAAAATGTTGTGGAAAAGGACACTAAATGACTAAATGACTTTCTAGCTGTGACGGGGTGTTGCTGCTGCTGCTGGGTAATGGGATATGAACAATCATCACAATCCCAGTATGTAGAAAGCACCCGCTCACTTTGGTTGCTTTAGGACAAAAAACAGAGGCTCATATATACCAAGGTAGATACCAAGCAGCTAAGCTAACGTGTGTGTGTGTGTGTGTGTGTGTGTGTGTTTGCAGGGAGGAAATGACTACGAGATCTACTGCGACCCTCGGACCATCGGCCATGAAGTCTCCTGTCCAGAGGAAACACGACAGCTTTGTCAGCAGCTTTTCCTCTCCTGAGAGAGAGAGAGAGAGAGAGAGAGAGAGACCTATATAATGCAGACAGAGCCGGTGTCATGGTGTCTTTGATAACGCAGAGGAAGGAGAGGGAAGAGCCACTGACACACAAGAGGAGGGATTTCACGGTATTTTGGGTCATGGTTTGAATGTTAAAGTAATGGTTTGAAAAGTGATCAGTTAAGTTCTTTAAATGAGATTCTGACTCGTGCTCTCTCATTACCTCGTGGTAAACGTTGAGCCATGGTCCTTCCCAACATACACTTAGCAGACTAATGCATCTTTCATCCACATGTAATTCAGATCAATCATGATTTTGATCATGAAAACAAAACTCAACTGGAAATCTGTTTGCTTGGATCTATCGTTCCAGGTACTGCACGTCAATATCAGCTGATTCTGAATCTGCTTTTACTGAACCACAACTACCATGTGACCCACTGTGCCTGTAACTAGCTGTGTCAAACACACAAATACAGAGGACTACATGCCACAGTTAAAGCTGCAGTAGGTAA